TATGGGATTGCTGCGTGTAGTTTCTACGACGAGCTAGTTTCTTAAGGAAGCATGTAACTGAAAGGAATATATAGAAGTGCAAACCCATGCTTAATTTACAGGTGTGATACTGCCCTGTTACCCAGGCCAAAGTATAGGGCTTTCTTAGATGACCTTACCCGGGGCCTTCAGTTAAAGAACCTAACACACAAAAAGGCCGCGTTCAGTAAGAATTCCACGATCCCCTAAAAGCCGGTGACTGGAAGACCAGGTCATAAGTCTTTGGTTTGCGGCCAACTATCCGCCGGGAATTAGAACCACCATGAGCTTCATATGTCAAGTGTGGGTGGTTCGTGGTCAGAACTTGTAGCCAAACTACCCAGATCGACTACAAATGATTAGCCAACCGGATGGAAAGCGATGGACATTCGCCCCAAGCCCTCCCATTTCAGTGGTAACATCTCGGTCATGTGATTTATTAGACGAATAAAAAAAGGACGAGTGATTGCATGAGGCCTAATCCCTGGGTATTATTTAAATGCTATGGTCAACGTATCCCTTAGAAAACTGATTTGTGTTGGAACTCTGCAAACCCTATTTCAATCAACAACCCAATGCACGCGATACAGAGTCAGATCACGTAAGCAACGATATAGCTATCATGTGCCCCTCTTATACAGTAAGTTGACTGTGTGCAATATTTTGATATGGCTTTCAGTCATGTGAGCAGATTATAACAACTGAAAGTCAGTCTATTACATCTAGCTCATTTATGAAATTCAGCTCCTATAGAGTCGTGTAATTCTAGGCTCGCAATAGCTACGTGCACCATACTTGTTTAAATGCGATAAACGCAGTCGAGCAATTTTCGACAGCTACGGGGCGGTCATCAAGTTACTATCCACTCTTTCGTTCTGGACAAGTTTTCGCAATCCCTTTTGCAATCTTGGACCATGTGAATTCGTTACCTTCATATTGACACTGTTTCCAACATTTAAACATTTCCTCTACTGCTTCATCCAAATGGGTGATCAAAATACTTCACCAAAAACCACAGCACAAGAGATCATGGTTATTGGTTGTATAAACTGAACCGATTGGTAAATTTCGGGCACCACACTTATTTATCATAAGTCATTGCTGGATTTTTCGAAAGTTGATGATAGTTTAGTAATCAAGGGAAACGGTTAGGGGTATCCATAATTGACAGGTAGCATATGAGAACACGTAAAACACAAATCACGTGAAAACTGTACTTGTTCTTCGCTTATCGATTACGAAGGGGGATCAATCGGAAAATGTAAACAGTCAAAGTCTAAACAAAGGAATTAATGACTATTCATATGATGCACAGATTAAATACAAATATTGGCCCGTTCGAGGTCCAGTGGTGTAGTGGTTATCACGTCTGCTTTACACGCAGAAGGTCTCCGGTTCGAACCCGGGCTGGATCACACGTTTTCATTACTTGGGGCCACGTGCGTTTTCAATGCTCAGGGAAAAATTCTTTTTCTTGACGTACCGTATAATATATTTATTTATATCATAACTCAGGGAACGATGGAAGACAATGCAGGGTAATCACATGGTGCTTTAAATTATGATCAATGAATTTGGCAGGTGAACGTTTCAACACTAACCGCATAATTGGTGATAATTATTCGCGGGCACTTCGGAGGCATGGTCACAAGAGAGTAAGGGATCTCACGGGCAGTTGTTGGTGCGCATATTAAGGATGTGAATAGATTGAACCGAAACCTAAACAACGCACGAGGCACTCAGGGGTCCTTTGAGTAAACCCTGGAGGAAACGGAAATCTCTTTTTGATTCATTTGGTATTGAAGGTATATTTTAGGCAACTGTACACGAAACCTTTTGATTTCTGATTCATATTACATCTATTTTTCATTAGTATCAAAATAGCTGATACAATTGCGTTTTTCCCCGATACCCCGCGAAATTGTTCGAACTGCTTGAAATTTACATGTACATTTGTTTCCTTTTGATATAACTACATGATCCACGAAACACGAGTTCACATTCCGCCTGGTTGGAATAAAATTACCCACTGAATTTGTTTGGACGAAATAGAAACTACGCAGACGTTTCATACGCACAAGATCCAACTTATTGTTTCAAAGACAACAAGTCCCAAAGAAATCATTTCATTTTAGTTATCACATAAGAACTTTTCATTTCTGATACTCTCTTATTTCTATGAATAACACTGTTGAATACTAATCACATAAATCATTGGTATTAGTAATATTCCGCGCTTGTGGTCCATCACCACAATGTGGTGACATGTAGAGGAGGATATCCAACGAACAATGTCATCTATGTTAAACGTCAAATCTGAAGTGGAATGTATAATGGTTTATTAACAAAACTTGGCTTTTGCACTTTATCTAGTGTCCGGCAGTCCCACCGATCTAATTGTAACTATATGTGCCTTGACGTAGACACAGAAAACGGAGTAGTCACATTTTCATCCAATGAATTCTGTATAAATGATAAGTATGCCACTTGAATAATATAAGCTGATTTTTAAGTTAATCCCAAGAGTCTTAAAAGACTTTCGCACACCAACAGTGTGATTCATTTCAGCCAAGTGTACTTGTGTGACTAGCTGGAAGGAAAAAGTGTGAAAATTAGAATACCATCGTATCATCTAAGAAAACATCTTCCATAATATTCATTTTCAGTTCAACNAAGAATGGAAACACCATGGGTTCGCCACTGGGTGTTCTATCGGTTGATACTAGTGGTAAATTGGAAAATGAAGTATTGTCTACTTGTAGTGAGCAGTAAGACCCATTAGGAAATATTATGCGGATGATAACGGTTGTGTTATCTGAGTAAAGAACACAGCACCACAGTGCTGCATAAGTTATTTCCGGAAAAATTTCGTTGTATCTCTTAGTTGCGTACTACAGTCAAAAAATACAATGCAAAGTAACAAGTGGCGGTGGTGGTCAAGTGGTGGTTAGATCACCAAATTGTGATCCGGAATTCCCTAGTTCGAACCGCTCTACTGTTGTCCATCTTCTTCATTTCTGTATTTTCCCAGGTAGTCTTTTTATGGTCGTGAACCCTTTCCTGAAAGTTGACTGCACATTTATATATTCAATAAATAAAAAAGGAACTAAAAAGATATTTTCATTTGGTTGTAAAAACCGCACTGAACTGAACAGTTCTTATTGAAAATAACGCCGATCGTTTCATTTGCCTCATCTGACGACCAAATGCAGCATAGTAGAGCAAGCGATCTAGTATCATGCAAGCGGAGAGACCAGATATTACACTCGTTGCCCAAGATACACTGTACTAATTGTGCTATCATATGCTGGTTTTCCACACATGCTACAGTCGAACCATGGGAGCTAAAGCAGACAAATTTCAAGTTGTAGATAACAGTGTGAACACCGGAATGCGATAACAGCTGGAGACAAAGAGGTTTCTAAGTTGTCCAACCATGAACATACGCTAGTTTACAATTGTCACATAATGAAATCTTGAACTTTATTTGGGCAAAGACTATTTCAGTTCATACGGTGAAGATGAAATCCACAGCTTACAATACGTAAAACGTGACTAAAGATGTTGCGATAATTAACTTTGTATCGCGACAGATTATCTGAACCCAGGATACAAAGATGCATTCTGTGCGGTAGTAATGAAACAATCTATGATTACAATGATTGGGATATAAATTCAGTTAGTAGTATGACTGATGGTGACTCTCTGGGAAATAAATAAAACTCTTTTTTTACCTCGAAACCACTCGTATAACATTCTGAACAATACGAAAAAGTTAGAACACCATCATGACCAACACCATCAGTTTCTATCAGGAGAACCAACTCTGAACAGGAACAAAGAGACGTTTCGGAACAGAACATCAACAGGTCGACTGTGATCACCTTTTACCGGGGGCGTTTTGTTCGATTTGACCGAACGCATTGTCTGTGTCTCTGAAATCGATACCACCTCTTCATCGGGAAATTGATCCGGCCCGATAGAAGTATGTGCTGAGATCGAAAGCGATATAGGTGTAAATATATGTATGCGTTTCGCTTAAACCAATTCGATAAAATGGTACCAGGGAAAAGTTAAAAAGGACTAGAATGTGTGCAACTTGTGAAACAATAGTTTTATTTGAATTGAGAAAAACTCAGTAACCTCGGTGGGACTTGAAACTACGCATAGACGCCGCCTATGCTTCAGTGCAGTGAACGCCCTGTCAGCTAAGCTACGTGGCTAACCCTGTTTTCTTTTTCATATTTTGGTCACAAACCTAACTTGCAGAGACATATGGATTTGAACCCCACCGAGGTTACTAAACCTTTCACAGTTGAAACATAAGACTTAGGTTTATCAAACAACATACCTTGGCGCATTTTATTTCAACGAATAGCAATTTATTCTACTAGTTTGGATTTAGTGTGTGCCCAGTGATTCTATGTTACACTGACTAATGCGGACGGCCGACAATTGCGCCGAACGTCACCGCGTATGTTGACAAAGTTAAAAGAGATATAAGTAAATTAACCTAATGGCCAATACTTGAGTACACGTCATTTGTCTCATACCACTCTCTGTCTCTCCTTCTATCTCTATCTTACGCCGATTTGCCAGAGGTACACCATGTAACAAGTGCTTGTCCGACAAAATCGAGGTTTTGGGGTATGCATAATGACAACGCAATTACTGGAAGTCCAAAGTCAGGCTTCTTAGCTAACCGCAATGTACTCCTGATTTTGAAAGGAAAGTGGGATATGAGCCTTGCTGAATTTCATCATGTGGCGGGGTAGGGCTGGAAGCCACGCATACACTTGACAGTTGATTGCAATTCACCTAATCTACAGAGATCGCTGAGCTTAGAAAACAAACGGGTCACGTTTTAACTGAATCTGCTGAGGTAAGTGAAGAAACGGAAAAAGCCCTCCGGTTTTCATCTGTTCTGGGAGTACACCAAAAACAGATATAATCCTCTTTCGGTCAATCTGCCAGCCGCTTACCATCCGCTCGTAATGGTTCTTCCCGATGTGCACAATCATCCAATTTTTGCATCCGAAACTCGTAGTAGTCACGCAGTGCTTGCATCTCACTCATCAATTTCGCTTTGTCTGCCGCCTCGGCATGGTACTGTGCCTCTTTCACGCGTAGTTTCGTCTCGTATTCCTGACAGGGCGATAAGCGAATGGAATTTAGGAGGCGACTGACGGATAGGATGGATAAGATGTGTGTCGTGTCTTTATTAGTAAATCACTGCAAACAATTATACTCATTACTGAATAAATCATATGTCACGTCTACTCAAACGATGATCGCCATCAGTAAATCATTGAACAAACAGAATGACATAAAATATGCTTCAGTGGTGATGGTCCAGCTGGAAAATTATCATCCTATCGTTCCGTATATTGTGTATTCCAACCACGTCTCAACCACCAAATATCTGTACCTGTTTGTATCCTTTGGTAAAATTTGATTAGCCGCTTTCAGTTTCCTGAAACCGGATTGACCATTTTGCATTCATTTGAAATAATTAAAAGTAGTCAGGAAAACAAAAAGTAAAATTGTGATGAAAAACGAAATGCAACAAAAACATATTAAAGGAAAACAGGAACATAAAAAACGAAGAAATACACGGTAGCCACAAAAAGCCAGTTTACCCACAAATGACTTTCGTGTCCCAATAGAAATATGCCGAGGAACAAATTTGTCAACGAGGTAACATAAGGACTGATGGAGACACCCTCCAGTGCAAGAAAGAGCGTGATAATTTGTGTCCGCTGTGACAAGTCGTGATGCGCAAGCAACACGAACCGTGCAGCACTTGGTCACTCAGATTGGAACTAAGTAGGGTTGTGAACTCTGTGAAACTGGTTTCTAGAGTGGTCAGTACGCACTTAGGCAAAGGAACACATGAGTTGGTGGAATACAATTATCGCAATGTCCATTCTCCTTTGTTTCTTTCTTTCTTGATTTTACCGCTACTGCATTAGTAAGCCCTGAAATGTCGGTGACAATGTAAAGTAGATACAGAATCAAATTTTTTGACGTAACATAAGCCCTGCGGGGTCAATGTGTTTAATCCGTGCCTGCGTCAGAGTCGCTTTTGAAGATGTTATGCATTATTCGGGGATAACCTACACTCACTATTCCGTACAACGGCAGTTGTCAAGGGGTTAAAGTAGATGAAACAGCGGCTCGGGGTTCGAACAAGTTGGCGTATGATTTTGTGGCTTATTCATCGAGGTAATTTTTCGCTCAGTAGTTTGTCAAAACAATGCTCTGTGTTATAATCAGGAACTGCTTCCCACACTGGGAGTACACTTAAATCGCATTAACTTGCGTATTCACCAAACCCACTTTGAATAGATATGGCAATCGTAGACTCAATAGCGCACAGGGTAGACCAAGAACCAGTTAAATGCGTTTATAGTGACAACCTCCGGCTATGTCCACAGTACTGATTCCCTCCTGTCGATCGAAATTTGCGCATTCATTTATACTAAAAAAAGGGCCACAATACGCATGGTCTTGACCACTTTGACACATATGTATATACACTAAGAGCCGTGAGAGATCCGTTTTATACCACGTAATCTGTGAGTGACTCATCATCAGATTCGCTTATGACAGGTTAAAATGCAAATCAAACTGCATTTTGCTGTCCCTAATCTAGTAACATTGTATGTGAGTCGCACTGATTAAGCGAACAATTGTTATTGTTTTACCGCACGCCCATATGAAATCAACCATATCTGAAGTGCGAACTCAAACTAACGCGGTTGAAGGAGTTTATTTTGTTGATTAAACATGTGTATCTCACTCAGAGTCAAAGCATGACTCAAAACATTTTACTGCCATTCCATCCTAGACAGTAATCATTAGTGGGGCCCATCCACCGGGTGCGGACAGTCATCGCCTAGATAGACTTCGGCTTCGCTTTAGAACCACTGCTATCCATCCACTTTAGTGCGGCGGTTTTGATTGGTATTTGTTTTGACTGACGGAATAGAGAGAATGTTAGAATGTTGAAAGCGATATCAAGGTAAAATTGTGAAATTTATAAAGACCGAGGTTACAAGGTCATTGACCAGATGCACAAGCGCCCCACTATTTACGACACTGAGTGGCTCTAGTCATCGAATTCACTGATCCGGATATATGAACTATAGACAGGCCAACGCCACAAGTTATCCCGGATCACCCTTTGCGGTTTGCTCCAAATCAGCACTCCACAGTGTGTCACCTCATCGGTCACTGTCATCAGACGCGTCGGAATTCAACAAACTGATCGGCTCACTGAGATACAGGTTCTCAGCACGATAATACAACAACTAGGCTGGAAATCTACACCTACTCCGTGTATGTGCATGGATTTGGTCAAGCGAAGCGATTGGAAAAAATATATTATTTTTAGGTGTGCTTCGTACCCGAGTTCTTGAAAAAGCAGATGACAAACAACTGTTGCGGATAATGCGCCTGGCGAGAGATGATGTGAAATGAGAGATATAACAAAGTGTAATTCTGAACACCTAAAGTAATCAAAAAGTGAGCAATATCTGCTAACTGTCTGAGCCAATCGTAATGAATCGATGCATATTAAACCATCCGATTGATCACCGATGGCTTTCAAGTTCAAGGATTGTGACAGTAAAAACAGATTGCTTTTGACCCTATGGTGAACGAATTGCAGTCACAAACTTCTTTTAATAAGCTTTGCTCAGCAGCATAAATGGAGAGAAAATTTTGACATTCTACATCATCCGTCAGTCGGTACTTAGTGTCACCCAAATCATCCATAAAACCCGTAAAATGAACTTTAGTGCTATCGGACTAGTATAGCTCAGGTTGACTCCCATCTGTTCATCCATTCCAATGACAAACTTATTCTTCCACACAAACAGTAAGGCAAGTCATATCTCTGAGTTTGGTTATGAGTTTAATTTAATGTGCGATGTCATAATTAGGAACACATTATTCCGTCATCCGCAATGCACGCCAGAAAAGATTACCTGTTTCAATGCTTCTTTTTCTCGTTCAATCGTTTGCCAATCTTTACACTCTACCACCGGATCCACAGTCGGACATTTACCAATACCCTGACTTTGTTCGAGCAATTGACGTAACCGATCAATCTCATCCTGGTACTGGCGAAGTAATGCATCTTTCGGATCCTCATTGATTTTCGGCTTGTTCTGAATATTCTTGGCCCGATTTGCGTACCGCAATGTGCTTAAAGTCTCGTCATAATTGTTATCCGCTGGCGATAAACACGCTATCATTAGCGTTTTTGTGTTCCCGCCGAGCGAGTCCTGGACGTGAGGCGGTGAGCGGGGATAGGTAGAAGGAAGAAACGACGTAATAAAAGTCATTCTATCAGATAAACGAGTCACACGATAGGAGGTTGGAACAGTTTTCAATCGAAAAAAACCCGAATCTATCCGTTCAGACAGATCGCATATAACTCACAAGCGAATGGCCAACTGCAGGAACAATGCTGTGATCGATCACAACTATTCAAGCAATAATAAGCATCACTCAAGCATAGGCTGCTGTATGCGCACATGAGAAAAATAGAGCAGAATTTACCATCGAACGCGACAAGGACTGGCATGGTTACATCATCAGCAAACGGAGGGGTAGAGGTTATTCACTGTGGATTGATCAAGCAGAATTATTTCACAACGCATTAATAAAATACAATTTAGATACCGCGGAATATACTTGTTGATTAAGAACACAATTTAGGCGAACGTGTTTTGGTGAATTCATTTTCAAGCGTTTCCAATCACACTGAAATGAAAAAATTCCGGTACGGTCAAACAGAAAGGTGGATGCGTCATATTTAAGGTATTTAGTCCGATAAAACTTCGACTGGCATGTTGTTGGAGTCACTTAATCAAAATTAGTTATATGCGATACGGTCGCATTTACAAACAATTTTCTGTTTCCATGGCTAGAGGAGTTTAAGAGCTCGGACCAATTTTTGTTGTGCGCACAGTTTAGGTTTCATCAATCGGGTGCTAATCGCCTCCACGGTCGCTGACGCCTGAAACCGTGTTGCTCTCGACCGGTGTGGTGTGTTTCGGTAAATGATTGTAAATTCCGAGCGCATGTCAACCAAGTATCCCGTCTCCACTAAATGAGCAACGATCGAGCTTGACACAGCTCCATTCCCACTGTGTATTAGCCAGCGTGGATTGTGTTCTTTGATCCGCTGAGATAACTGTCTTGTCGTTCGACCTACATAAGTAGCACCACAAGTGCACTGGAACTGATAGACAATCACAAATGTGGTCAACATAGGAAGCTTATTTTTTTGCCGTCGGGTGTTTGACACCGCGGAGAAAAAGGTGGCATTATAAGTGGATTTCACTACCACGAATAAAACGCTACTGACCCTGTCAGCGGTGACATCTGTTTTAAATGTACATTCTATTCAAACGGACCTTCTTCTCCACTGATAGTGTTTTAGTTAGCTTATTCTGTTTATTTCGATGAAGGTCGATAAACCTCTCAGGATCACGATTTTCCAGTAAGGTTCTCCTCACTAGTTAAATTTTGTCCTTTAAAGTAGGAGCCTTGCTCTCTGCAGAGGACAGCGCACGAGGTTAAGCTTTTGATAGAGCGGCGAAAAGCTATGAAACCCTACGTACTGTCTGCTCCTTGTTATATTTCAGTATACGTTCCTCTGGTTAGAGCTATCGGGGCGTCTAGTCAGATGAACATCCAAAGAAAAACGAAAATCATTCTCCTCTGGTTTGGCTGTAAACCTGATTGACCAATGTGTCAACATGGCCGAGATTGGTGTTGGTGTTGGTGTGTTATCAGTCACACACAAGATATGAATCACATAACGGTGGTACTGTTCAAAACAACTGATTGCTGTGGATAAGAAAGTTGTCTACAACTTGACCATGAGGACGCAGGCAATAACAGATCCAAGGAGTGAGCCCATTGCAACACAATTGATTTAGTGGTAGAATGTGTCATTGAATAAAATTGTAAATCTCGTATGTATTTGAATATGAATTCTTTGAGATTTTCTCGGACTTATTATCACACACCACTCATTGATTGTTCTGTTTGACCTTACTGAATTTTATGTGATAAAACTGTGATTTGTAAAGACTTGAAAATGAATCACCGAAAACATATGTTTGCCCTCATTGTTTTGTAGTATATCTATCTA